GCTCAGAGGCCGTTTCTGGAAACACTTGCCACACGCCCCCCCCCCCACCCGCCCCCTGCCATTGTGGGGTGAGGCCTGTGCTTCGCCCCTGCATCCCCACCCTGCCCCTGTGGTTTCGTTGCTGTGATGGACTCTGCACGCCTTAGCTGAGGCTTTGGTTGGCCTGAATTGGAATACGCAACACGTGCAACACAAGGACCTGTTGTCACGATTAGTGACTCAACTACTGTTACGTGGAACTTAGAGCGCTTGTTCTGATCTTCTCCACCACCGTTCATGTCTACAACTGCATCTACTATGGTCGTGCGGCCCGCGTCCGCCGTTCTTGAAGTTCTTACGTGCTACTCTTTGTCTTGCTTCTTGCTGTGGCACCGGTGGTGCTGCTCATGATGTTGCGCTGCTCTGCACGGCGACGCGGGTCGACAATCAGATTATCTTTGACATCATGCTCAACATCATCATGGTCGTCATCATCTTCATCATCAGTACCATCAAAAAATAGCTGCCACCATCACCGTCGTCATGCAACCCTCATAATTAAGCATTGTAATTCATGTCTGATGCGGGAAACTACTGCGCAGATTGCCGCTTCCCGTACAGGGCAGGGTTGGGGTACCATAGGGCATGTGGGGGGAGTGCGGCACGCACAACCAGCAGGGGCAGGGGTGGGGTACCATAGGCAGGGGGGCAGGGGGTGGGGGTCCGGGACCCTAAAGCCTGTATCCGGAATGCTCTCCGTTTGCCGCAGACAAGAGCGTCAAGCAGTTCCTTCATCGATTTTGCATTGTAAAGCTGAGGCAGCAAAGGGTCAAAAAGACTGTCAAAAAGTGCAGGCGGGAATCCAAGAACAAAACCTTTTGCCTCTCTCTGAACCGGACATCGGGGCTTGCCCTGTCCTCAGACACTGTCGAACCGTATGTGGCCTGCCCCTGCAGCTTGCATGTCGTGCCACCCCTTCTCGCCTTGTCACTGGCTCTATGAACCAGAAATCGTGTTTGCCACCCTGGCAAAGTGCTTGTCACTGGCCAGCTGTCCGGTTGGTCGGAACGAGCGAAACCCGGAGCCTTGACATCACGGGACGATGAACACATGTCTGGGATCCCCAGATCTTGGTCGAACTCCAAGATTGCTGGAGACCATTTCGGTCAAATCTCGGCATTTGGAGCTTGTTGGGGCGCGAAATTATTTTTGCTGCCAGTGCAACTTTCACAATTCCGGAGGTATGTATTTGCTCCTGCACGCACACATGTGAAGAATTGACCGAGGCAACATGCCTGCAGTGGGTGGGCTTGTCGCATCTCTACACTTGAGGTGAATATGCCCTCGGCGCTGGAAAGCAGTGCAATCCGCTAAGTCTCCGACATCTACCGGGCAGCAAGCCCTCCTCAAACATATTCGAGCAACGCCTAAACCCGGCGGCCCGGTCTTCAACCCGACAAGACACGTCACCAAATTGCAAGCAACGGCAAAGATGCTGCCTATGCAACGACAATCAAGGCTTGAAGAAACACTACTCAGGCTGTGCGTTTGTGCCTTGAGCAGCTTGACGACATCTCCAACTTGCTCGTCCATGTAGTTCACCATTGCATGTAACAAGCGGCGGTGCTTGTCCTTGATGTGAGCAAACCTTGGCTGTGAAACACTCACACATCACTGATGTCGCCTACATCAGGACCATAGCAAGTTGACTGGAATCAAACGAGCATCTTCTGTTCAAAGGCAAAAGGGACCTGCAGCGGCATGTGCACCAAATGCATTGACCAGAAGAGGAAAAGCGGTCTTGACAGATTGTGCTCCCGAATCACGTTTTTGACAGCATCCGTGAGAAGAGCTTCTTCGTAAACACAAGTCTCGCCCGATGGATGCTGGTTGTCTTGTGAGCAGGAGGGTCCGTTCGCAAGGGCCCAGGCCGGGCCGTCATAGGATCTGTTGTATTGCCAGAGGTCTCGCATCTTGTGCAAGCCACACCGATCAACAGTGTGCTGCCAGTAGTCATTGCTGTGATGCCAGTACCCCAGCCAACTATCATAGCCACGAGCTCGGGGATGGTGCTGCGGAGTGGCCATCCCCACATCCCACTTACCAACGATATGAGTGCTGTAGCCGGCGGCCTTCAAATGGCTTGCTATTCCCGTCATATTCAGCGGAATGCCTTGAAAACCCCCGAGTACATCCCGCGAGTTCACGCATTCAGGATTGACATTTTGAACGTTCACGTGAACAGGATTCCTCCCAGTCTGGATTGCACTCCGTGCTGGAGAGCAGAATTGGTAGGTGTAGAATCGATCCAACTCGATACCAGACCTGCATGCGGCTTGTGCGGCAAGGCCCCTACATTCAAGAATTCTGGAGCTCTCGTGCGGAAGAACCTGGCGAGTGCATCCAGGTTGGGCGTTCGAACGTCGCCATCTCCTGCTTGACGATGATAACCTGAGCTCAAGTCCGTGTCATATGCTTGGCAACGATATTTCAAGGCGGGAGTAAGCCATTTCGGGTCGTGCACCACGAACTGATAGCTGCTAAAGTGAATTTGGTAAACGACAACTCCAAAGACAGCTTTCGTGAAAAGGACATGTTGCCTGCAAAGGAGGGTACTGGTTGAGAGGCCCTAATCCTGAAAAGGAAATGCGGCTGCCAAAACCAGTACCCCAAAAGGAGATGCCGTTTGACAAACCCTAAACCCCAAAAGGACATGTTGGTTGCGAAACCCAGTATCCTAGAAGGGTATGAAAGCTGGGAAACCCAAAACTGTCAAGGAGACGTTGGTTGAGACACCCAAACCTTACATGGAGATTATGATTACGAAACCCCAAAACCCCAAGTTTAAAAGCTGATGCTCTGCTAGTTGCGAACCCGAAAAGGGCATGAAAGCTGTGAAACCCTAAAACTGAATGTTGATTGAAAGACCCAAAACCCTGACCTGAAAGGAGATGTTGGTTGATAAACCCTCTACGAAACCCGGAACCCCAAAAAACGATGTGGTTGACAAACGCAAACCTCAAATGGTTGCCAACCCCGAAAAGAGATTTTGGTTGCGAAAACAGTTAGACTTTGGTTGAAAAGCCCTAATCCCTAACAGGAACTGTTTGCTGCCAACCCAGTATACCTGGCTGAGACACCTTAAACCCTAAAGGAAGATGTTGGTCAAAAAACCACGACCTAAACGGACATGTAGATTGAGAAACCCTAGACCCCAAAAGGAGATGTTGGGTGTCGATCGCAAAAACCCCCAAGGAGATGTTGGTTGAGAAACCACAATCCAATTGAAGACATTAGTTGCAACCCAGAGCCCGTTGCCAAACCCAAACCAAAAAGTCATTGGTTGAGAAGCCCCAAATTGCCCCATACCCGACATGTGTGTTTGGCCTTCCGCAACAGCGCAGCTTGGGCCTGAAATTCGGTTCCGAACTCGGACCGAAATGAACAAGGCGGACCCGGAAATTGACGGAACCTGGCTTGAGACGACTTCCATTCGCTTGTGAGCCCCGCAGCTGCCAGCTGCGGATCTTTCCGCTTTTCAGAACGAAAACATGTGAAAGCCACCATCATGACCATCCCACTTCACTTGCAGAGCAAGAAGCCAACGTCGGCCCAGCCAAAGTCGTCCGCAAGGATGTGTATGATATGCGGCTTTTTGGCGGATGCCGAGGCAGCTGCCTGAACAAGTCGTCAATCGCTGCACAAACCTTTTTGTCGACTTCCAATCTGAGGTTGAGGCACTGCCCTTCGGCACCAGGAGCAGCAGGAGGCTGATGGCCGTGTCCAGTGTCATTGCAGAAAGCATATTTATGCGCGTCGCACTTGTGGAGGGAACTGGGAGTGCATTTACAGCTTGCATCTTACATGCTTGACACTTCTAGGCAGACGTGCTGGAAGCTGACGTAGGATTCAGACTGCTGCTGGGAGCCTGACAGGCAAAGCAGGAAATCTGACATACCACTACGGTGGAGCAAGGGTACACGACAGAAACAACCTGTAGAATGCAGCACATATCCGTTTGCTGTCGAAGCAGGATGGGCCAAGAAGTCACAGTATGGAAAGGCGAACCATGCGAACCTGGCGAACTCAACACGTTGACGAAATCATCGCACAAGTTCCGAAACATAATTGGACACCTAACTCTGCTAGTTGGACTTGGTAATTAGGCAAGTTCCACTCGTGAGTAGAGGCAAAATTCCCATCCATGACCAATGCCACAATTTACAGACATAACACTGTTGCATTGGAAAGTCCGCGACCTCGAGCGCCTGACCCGTTTGAAGTCGGACAAGAAACAGCGACACCAGCGAAGTATGCACACACTAGACCCCAGACCAAGCACTCACAATACGCAGCTGCTATAGCAGTTCCCTGAAACCGAGCCCTGACGCAACAGTCGGAACACACATCCACTTGGGTCCACTGTCGATCGTTCTCCAATGGCCGGCATGTCTATTAGTCTCTACTGCAGCCGGTGTGTTCAAGCTGCACAATTAGTCAATTGAGATCCATTGTGGGATGTTTCGGTGTTGATAGATGGCATGAGTGAGGAAAATGCGGCTAGATCCTTGCCGCATACGAAAAGTCTTACTTGCTGTACGGGTGATCCTTGTTCATTGGTGCTTACCTAGATTCGGGTTGGAGGGTTTGTGCAGGCCTTGACGTGGCTAGATCATCATTCCCCGAACTTACGTGGTACTTGATGTGGCGTCTTCAAGGCTGCATTCCAGGCTGCATCATGTCAAAATTGGTTTTCCAAAACACAGCAATGTCGCCCGGGCTTTGGATGCACTTGCAGCATTCGTTGTGCTTTAACCTCGCAGGCTGCGAAAGCATGTGGGCTGCGCATATGATATGCCACACCTACAATCGGAATCGGGCAAGAGCAGACTGCACACCTGGAATAAGCGACGAGGGAAAGCTATGTCCCTCAGCTGCTTCGAAGGCAACTTGATGCTTATGTCGGGTTGGAGACGAAGATCTCACCGCCTCTGCCAAGCCACGCAGAATGAAGAAGAGGGTCATTGCAGCAGCCAGAGCACATGTGGACAGCGCGAGGCGGTACCTAGCAACCCAGCCAACAGAAGAACGCAGCCTCTTGAACCTCAAGTGAGTCTAGCCAGCTGGCTCGCGCTTGGAAACATCCCCGGGTTGTCCGTGAAGTCGCCAAACCAAGTGGGCCTGGACAACTTTCTGTAGCGCCTGCCCGGTGGCAAACTTCAGCTACAAAAAGCTTGCAATTCTCACCATCCTCACCTCCTCTGGAGACAGCAGCCGCAGTCGCGGAGCGATTGCATCACGTTGCCTGCAAGGAGGATGATTTCGTCATCACGATCACCAATGTGATTCAGAAGCAGCTCAATGGCTGGCCTTCTGTGCATCAAAAGGTCAGCATTCGATGAGGCGAAAGGCCCTCGCGGGTGCGTTCCCTTGGCTACGAGATGTGTCCTTTGCACAATTTAGGTTTGCAGTGGCAGGAGTTTACTGGTCTGTGAAGCACATCGGCTGTGGTCCTCAATGGCATAGAGAGTGGCTGACGGTCGCCCACCGTGACCTCGCAACACAGCCGGATGCCGGCTGTTTCGTTCGCATGCTGGCAATTTACGATGTTCGGCCATTTCGGTGGTGTGGCCTAAGCGTGCCTGCCCTGGTCGAGAGGCGAAGGCATGTGCTCGTGTATCAGGCCCATAGAAGGTCTCTTAGGAAAAGATGCACAGTATACTGCCATGGCAAGCCAACGACGCAAAGCCATGCAGAAAACTCGGAATTCGTTCAGATCACCCAATCGAATATACAAAAGCCCACTGTCAGAAGATGGCCAAGCCAGGACCGCCAGTCCTGTCAAAACAGCCTGCAATCGGACAGGCAGAATCATGCAAGACCTTGTGGGGATGGATCCGCCGAATCGAAGGTCTTCATGCAAAGTTCCGGCTGGCATCAGAAAACAGCGGCAGCCCGGCGGAAAACCGCAGACTCGCTCATGCATCAGAAAACATTCGATGACATATACCTTCTGGAGACACGAACAAAATGGAAATAGAATGGTTGTACAGCTGCTCTCGCTTTTTGTCCTGGTGTTCCAGTCAGCGAGATGTTTCAACGAGGGGGCCCTTTTCGCACTGCTTCATGTACATATGCTGCACTGGCTATGCTGGAACACCGGTGTGCCTCTGAATGCATGGTACATGCGCAGGCCGACACATGGAATGCTGAACTGCAGGTCTCCAAGACGGGAACCTCGTGCGTTGCATCCTGGAACTGGTACAACACATAGAGGCTGAGCTCAGCTTCCGAATCCAGAGGTAGTGGATTGTAGACTCCCGGCAGGTCCACCTGGCCAAATCACTCTATGTCAGGGCACCTTTCTTGTTGCGTTGCATTGATGATGGCGTTGATGATGCGACACGGTCCTCTTTGATGCGTCGCGTAATGATACTGTAAGCACCCTTGTCGACCCTCTCGGTGATTTCCGGGGGGTCATGTGTCGTTGATGGCCGTTCGGCCACGACTGCCTCGCGGCTGTGTAGAAATTGCAACCCTCTTGGTCTGAGCGGGTAATGGTAACTTGTTTCATCATGGTTCCGGCACGACTTTGCCTCAGGAATCACGAAGGCCCTTCAGTGGCACCTGGCACTGTGCCGTTTCATGACTCTGGCACGATTTTGCATCGGTAAAATGGAATGTTAATATTGCTGCTGTGGTTGTTGTTGTACTTGTTGCACCCCACTGCTACTTCGCCACCCAGGTTCACAGCATGGGTTACTTGGCTGCGCTCTTTGGGCACTGGGCGCAACTTTGGCCCCTTCTCGCGAAGAGTATGGGTTGTCCCTTCGCTTGGGCCATAGCCATTGCGACGTGGAGTCTCAAGCCTAAGTCGCGCTCACTGCTTCTTGCCAGTCGTGCTGCAATGCAAACTGTACTCCAATCTCATGCCGAATGGGGTCCTCCGATTGGAGGATTAATCGAGCCGTAACGAAAGCACTGGTGAGTGTCCAGTGGCGGGGTGGGGTGGGGGTGGGGGTGGGGGTGGGGGTGGGGGTGGGGGTGGGGGTGGGGGTGGGGGTGAAGTACCGAATGTTACACATTCCGGGCATTCTTGATTGCACGTATCACTTGCATGTTTCCGTGTCTGTGTGCTC